TGGTACGAAACCCAGCGCCGAAAAGGTGGCTTTCTAAACCCTTCCCCCGTGCCGTCATAGTGGCTTATGATCTTTCCTAAAGGATTAGTTCTAGTACGACCCACTGCCGACAAGGTGGCTTAAACAACCCTCCCCCAAGTGCCGTCATAGTGGCTCAAGATCTTACTGAAATAAATAGAATAGTTAAGTGGCTTCGTGACTTGTGCATGTGCGCCTTGAGGAAAAAGTGGGATGGTAGGGTCTCCTCGCTGTATGTGCTGTGCTGTCTGCAGCATGTCTGGCACGTGGCATGCATGCAAATTCCAAGGCAAAATGCCTGCACAAACAATGTTGAGCACCAGCACGCACACGCACACAGAGCCACATGTCCGCAATCACTGACACATGCCGACATGACTGACGCTCGATCTGTCTCACTGTCTGTCTGTTTCTCTTCTGCCCGAATCCCAGGATAAAAATGATCAGGCCCAAGTAAGACTTAATCCCTTTTATGTCGGGTTTTCCAACGTATTGTCACCGCCGGTTGCACCACCGGCATAAATGGAAAAACTTTGCCCGAACGTCCCGGACCCAGGCTTTCAACCTCCGGCCCCATGCTAGCCACCCCCCCCCCTAAATGGAAATTTATATTGGAAATGCCCCCGGGGACCCCCCCCCCCAGATCCATTTAACAAGAGAGGGGGATGTTTAGGGGGGATTAGGGGGGTTTAGAGGTTCAGGGATTCAAGAAGGTTTAGGGTAGAGGAGTTTCGGTTTAGGGTATAGGGAGGGATGGGTTCATTCTCATATACCTGCTAGTTTAGTAGGTTCGCTGCAGAAACACAAAGCACCATCAGATTGAAGAATGTAATTACCAAAGCTTACCAAGGTTTAATAGGAAAGCCTGCGGGCCTGTGCCATGGTGATCCAGGTAGTGATGGGGTTTAAAGCCTTCGGGGTTTTAGAGCGTGCTGTTCGCATTCAGAGCAGACACGTCAATTCGTTTCATCGGCATGTCAAACTGCAAACAGGCTACGGAAAGAAAGACGGCAAGTTTCTCTATAACACATGAGCCCTTCGGTTCTGGTCCTCGAAGTGCTCCGACTTTGCGCACGCAGTGAGCTCCAAGTGGATGCTGCCGCTCTCCTGGTTGGCACTGACGACAAAGAAGGTCTTGCACTGCCTTTGTCAAGTTCACTGCACAATGAGAATTCCATTTGCATAGGGCTGAGAAGTCCATGCGTGTAGGGTAGGAGGCACCGCAAAAGCGTAAAATGATCTGAGCGGCCGCATGGTGCGGTGCTGCTTGAAGAAAAGGAAGGCGAGGAAACAGGGCACCGCACCGCCGTAGACGGCGGTGGTGCTCCAACCGATTCGGTCCACCTCTGAAAAGGAACCCTAGATACTACTTGCAGCAAAAACACACTATAGACCGAAGCATCACATCAAGGGCGTCCCAAACAAATGTTGAATCGGGACTTGTCCTCTAAACCCTGAAGCCTAAACCAACGAAGAGAACGCTGGGCACCCTACCCAGGCGGCTGCGGCGATCTCCTTCGAGCACCGGAGCCACGGGAAAAGTGGCCGGAAGGCCAGCTCGTCCGGTATCCAGGTGCCTCGTAAACTTTAGCGTCTACGTTCGACATTACAAAACGCAAGAATTGCAGTAAACCCTGAACCCTACACCCTCAACCCGAAACCCTAACGTTACATCCGCAACCCCCGCCTTCGCCGTCAGCCCGCTGGCAGCCCAAGAGCCTCACCGCGCCGGAGGCCCCTCCCACGAAGAGGACCGTCAGGGCTCGAAGGGCCAGCTGGATGCCTCGAAAGCATGAATATGCATGAATAAAGAAGGCCTCGAATATTCTTGTATGGTAGAGTTACGTTTAGGGTTCTGATCGGGCCATGATGCCGTTGCGGGCTTGTTGGAGCACGCCTCCGGTGCCCTAAACCTGTAACCCCAAACCCTGCAACCCTAAACCCTGAACCCTGTAACCCTGAACCCTCATGTCTCTGGTGCAGGCAAGGATCCCATGCCAAGGTTCCGAAGCTCTAGGCAGGCGCCTGGGCTCTTGGGGTTTAGGGTTTAGGGATACGGTTTAGGGCTTACGGTTTAAGGCTACGGTTTAGGGTTCAGGGTTTAGGGTCAGTTTAACCTCAGTTGCCATCATAAAGAAACCAGCTTATTTACTATAGATCCCCATTAGGGTACCTAAGAGTAAGCTCCTTCACCAAGACCCAGGCGCATGCAACCAGGACCAGCAAGGGAAGGAGGGGCGTGGCAAGGGCGAAAATGCCCCGGACGGTCGCACCGTCGTAACGGCACTGGAAGTCCAGGAAGCTTTGCAACTCCGAGCCCGTAAACTGTAGGATTTCGATGTAGGACAGCAGTGGATCACCTCGGCTCAGATCTTCGCAGCTTCACGCGGCACAATGCCTTGCAAGAAACCGGTTAGGCTTGCCAGGCCGAGCTGCGATCCATGTTCAACTCCTCAGGGGTCGGGATGTCATCTGTGACATTGGCCGCAACCACTTCCTGTAAAACCTTAGATCCAGCAGTGCCACACAGACAAATCAGCCGCAACGGCCAACTCCCAACCAAGATTCTAGGGCCCCAAAAAAAAACATAAGCAAAAAATGGCTAGTGATTTCCCACTTGAACCCCATATAATGAAGCCCAATATAAGGTCTTTTGAGGCCGCTGCTGCCATCGCTCTAAGTGCAGCTCAGGTGCTTCTTGTGCCTCCCTGGCACTCGTCAGGCGCCTCGGTACCAAGCTCAGAGCAAGAGGAAACTGCATGGGAACAGTGACAGCCCAGGTATAGTGCTTGTGTGCATGTATGTATATCTACAGACGTACGGAATCGCACGGACGTATCTGAATAAAAACGACGGCGAGAGAGGAAGACCCCGAGGGCCGAGGTGCGCCAGCAAGACCCAGAGCTGCGCCAGCTGCAGCAGCACCGCCCCTTGGGACACCAGGAGCTGCGCTGCGCACTCCATTCCCAGACCAGGCTTCGGGACGTAGCTCCTGCTGTTCGCTTCTGGTAGCTTGTGAGAGGCTTGGGCATGTTCAGTCTGCATGAGGGTTCTTCAGGGCTGCGGGAGCTTTCGAGTTTAACAGATGCTTACAGGCCTTTCTCAAGCCGGAGTTCGACAGTTTTTAACAGATGTGGTCTGACTACCATGCGCCTCAGGAGCCAGGCTGCAGCAACGAAGGCGCCCACCAGCGCCAGAGTTGCCGAGGAGACCACGAAGACTAAGACCACCGACTGCCTCGAGAATCGGAAGGAACATGCGATAAAATGAAGCCAGCTTGCAACTTCCCATCTTCAAGCAAAACTCTCATACCAAAAATCGCCTTAGTGTGTGGTACAGTACCTTATTTGATCCTCGAGGTGCTGGCGCAGGCTCTGGCATTTGTCGCAGAGCTTGCCGAAGTTGAACGAATGGTAGTTAGGAGCGCACTCCACACACAAGGGCCCGGAGTATCCTTGGGACATGGCTTTCCGTAGGCATGCGACAGGTAGGCAGCGGAGACCACGCCACTAGAGTGCATGAAAGACTCCCCACACCCAGCCTATGCATGGCTGCCATAACTGTCCGGGAACCCGGTCATTCGCAGTTTTGGCTTGGGAGCCAATGACCCCGAAGTTGAATCTCGACATGGACAAGAACATATTGTGAGACGTTACGCGCATCCTAAAACCTCAACCAAAAGCAAAAAAAACGAAGACAAGGATCCAGCTGCACAGCCCGAATCCGTGAAGGGCGTGCAACGCTCTGCCTCCAAGCAGCGGAAGACCTGCGCATAGTGTTGGGAAGAAGCCGAGCTGCACCGACATGGTTTATGTTAGGGTTCAGGATTGGGTTTAGCTTGGGGAGTTTAGGGGTGCTGATTGGCATCCCACCTGAAGGGAGCCGGAGATTCGGGCATAGCCTTCTTCCACCGGTGCATCTGCTGCGATGCTGCCGTGCTCAGGACAGTCGATGTGGAGCTTGCTGCATGGCACACAGAAACCCCCGAGCTGTGCCGTGTGCACCCCGCACTGGCAACTCCGGTTCCCCGGATCGCCCCGAGGCTTGCCATAGCTGCAATCGCATGCCGTCAGCGCCGCAGAGCCGTTCACAGAAGTGCTGTTGGCTGGGCACTCCTCGCACTTCGGCTGGTCCTCGTCATCTGCGAAGGTGTTGGCTGGGCAGTCCTCGCACAAACTCAGCCCCACATGTCCCTATAAGGAAGAATTAGTTAATGTCGTAATGTATACCCGATGTAGTCCTCATTCACCTATAGTGAAGTATAGCATCATATGCCCCGAAACCTTAGTCTCATCCTTAAGCCTGTACTTCGTTTCTTCAGAAGGCCTTGCAGTTGGCACCCTTTCCGAAGTGGCCGGGCTGGCACTTGCACATGTACCTTAAGGACGAGAAGATCCCTAAAAGGGTTCCCGTTGAGGTTTCTTTAAGGATTCCTCTAAAGGATTCCTCTAAGGCTTATTATATAGGGTTTTGGTTTTGGGTGTGAGGGCTTAAGGAGTTAAAGAACCCTAAAAAAGCGTTCGGGTTCACATACCATATATATATATATATATATATATATATATAGGGATGCATAGTAAACCCTAAAAGGAGTCCTAACAGGGTCATTCCCAAAAAAAACTTGATAGTATAAGGGTACCCCTAAACCCTATAAACCCTAAAAGGGTCATTGTCCAAGGAGCTGGGGCAAGAAGAGGTCCGGGGTCACGCGCAGCGCGTGGAGCGCAAAGTCGGCGCAGGCATAGCCCGCGGCGTGCAGGGTTCGCCTGGCGGGCTCACGACAACTATCGGGTTGAGGTTCAAGATTTGGGGCGTCGAGTGCAAAGAGACCATGAGTTCCGGGGACTTCAAATCCTTAACTCCTGAACCCTGAACCCTAAACCCTACCTTCGAACCCGAAACCCTAAACGCTAGCTTCAAAGTCAAACTACTGTCATGGGAGATACCAATATTATTCCTTGATATTATACCCCGAGCACCTGTTGTGACTATTAAGGCCCCTAAGCCCTTTCCCAAAACACTCCAAACCCCAAACCCTAAAAACCCTAAAGTCTCGCCCAAAACTCCAAACCCTAAACCCTGGCCCCTAAACCCTCTCCGTGATGGGACTTAGCCTTTCAGCCCTATTCTGAGGCCGGCACCTGGACTCCTGCATCGGCAGCTCCTTCTTGAGACGCAGCGCCTCCTCTTGGACCTCCTCCGGGTTCTGCAGGCGCGTGCCCTCCATGTGAACCTCCGTGTGGTTCAGCACCACCTGCAATTGCGATTGCCGGATTTGGCCCTCAATCCAAACAAAGTGAGACTTGTCGAGGCGTCCCAACGAATGAAACAGAGTTGGGAGGAGCCTGGGTCAGCACGCCGCGGCCGAATGTCACGGGGCCAGCATTGCTGCTGAGATCCAGATGTTTTACGCTTGCTCCAAGGCGGGGAATGGCACTGAGCTGATTTCCAGCCAGGTCCAGGTATTCGAGGTTCTTCTCCAAACGGCTGACCCAGCCATCGTTCTGGCTGCCATCCAGCTGCTCTCGCAGCTCACCGCGCAGGCCGCTGCGGGCGGCCGCGAGGCTCTTCAGCGGTGTCGCCGCTAGGGGAACCAAGAGCTCCGCAGCGGTGCCGTTGAGCAGGCAGCCGCTCACCTCAAACTAAAATAGAAGCAGGCGAGAGAGGGAGGAAAGAGCGAGAGCCTCGCATCATGTGGATCAGAACTTGTAAACACAGTGAGGAGTGAGCCGCAGGCGTTCAGGCGCTCAAGTGAGGGCAGGATCCCGGGTGGCTGCTCCTCTCCCAGCGGCCGCAGGCCACCCACCTGGCTGTCCTGAGAACGAGAGCCCCAAAGGCTCGAGCACGAAGACAGATCTACAAAAGCCCCTGAGAGCCCCACGGCGAGATCCAGCTCGCGCAGGTGTTTGCAGCAACTCTGCCAGCCGGCGGAGAGCCAGCCGGTCACCCGGGTCCCCGACAAAAACGCGTTTTTGAGATTGTGGAACTTTGTGAGGGCTGTGAGGTCGCCGGCGACGGCTGTGGCACTCAGGTCCAAGCTCTCCATATAGTCTACTGAATCTACTAGATCGGCCACGTCCCCCCAGACTGCCGTCTGGCGGAGGTCTAGTTCCACGAGACCTAGCTTGCCTAGACCCTTGAGGTTGCCTGAGACTCCCGTCTCGCTCAGATCCAAAAGCTCCAACCTTCCCAGCCGGCTTATGTGGCTGAGATTGCCCGAGACTTGCGTCTGAGGCAGCCTCAGATAATCCAACTTCCTAAGCTTCTCCAAACTTCCCAGCTCGCCTCCAACGTTCTTCGCTCCGCTCAGCTCCAGGCCCAGGAGGTCGGTGAGCTCTTCAACCGCCGCCAGGTCTCCGGAGATCTCCGTGTGGCTGAGGTACAAGCCCTTGAGGCGGCGGAGATGTCGGATAAACTGCAGGTCTCCAGAGACCTGCGTGTCGTCGAGATACAACTCGTGAAGCTCGGTGAGACGTTGCAACGGAGCCAGTGGGCCCGACACCCTGGTCTTTGCCAGGTCCAACTGCAGCAATCGCGTCAGGTCCGCCAAAGGCTCCAGCCCTCCGAAGACGACGGTTTCGCGGAGGTACAATTCTTGGAGCTCTTTGAGGTTCTTCAATGGCGTGAGATCACCGCCGACTTGGCTCTTCCTCAAGTCCAGCTTGCGGAGCGCGGTGTGTCCGCGCAAAGGGCCGAGCTCGCCCTTGACCAACGTTTTGGCCAAGTTCAGGGACTGCATCTTCTCCTTGCCCTCCAGGAAGGTGAGGCTGCCGGAGATGTGGGTCTTGCGCAAATCCACCCCTCGGAGGCGGCTCATCCCCTGCAGAGCGTCTAGATTGCCATCGACCTGGCTGTCGCGCAAGTCCAGGACCTCGAGATCCGTCGCGCCCTTCAAGGCTTCGAGGCCACCGGAGAGCTGTTGAAGAGGGAGGACCAGGCGCTGCAGGCTCTTGAGGCGCGTCAAATCCTCGAGCCTGCCCTCTATGTTTGTGTCAGCGAGCTCCAACATCCGCAAGGAATCGAGCTTTGACAGGTTCCCTAGATGGCCACTGATGTTGGCTTCCGACAGGTCTAGGACCTCCAGCCCACTCCGATTCTCCAAGTCCTCCAGGCGCCCGCTGACTTTCGTCCGTGAAAGGTCCAGGTGCTTGAGCTGCCACAGATCGCGCAACTGATCGAGCTGCCCGTGGACGTTTGACTTAGAGAGATCCAAACGTTGGAGTTGCCGCAGGGATGCAACGGCATTCACGTCGCCCCGCGCATCGCGGCGAGTGATCTCAGTCACGCAGCCGTTTTTATCACAGCGGATGCCCGGCCAGGAGCAGCGAGCGCCCTCTCCGTGGATCCCGAGCTGCTCAAGGGCCTCCAGATCTCCGGTGCCTCGGCTCAGGGTCCAAAGCCTCCAAAACACGACCACAGTAGAGCAGAGCATTCCGCTTGCACTCTTCAAGATTCGAAACAGAGGGCTGCTTATTGTGCAGAGCCAGGCGCAGTCCGGAGAGTCCACGGTCTCCGTCTCAGCCACGCTGCTGGATCTGGCCTCCAAAGCGGAAAAGTCTTGACTCTGGAGCTGGCATTTCTACGCCGTACAAGTACGCCTGACCTGGGCCCGTAGAATCTACGGGCCCTGGACAGATCTGCAGCAAACTCACGCCCTACAGATGGAATATAGTAAAATTGAAAAAGTAGCCAAGCTATGAGAACAAGCTGAAACTGAGGTGGTACCGGACCAAGCCCCCGACCGGCAGCGGCTCGGAAGACACGGCGGCTGCCTCAACAGAATCGCGGGGCTGCACTTCCTGCCTAATTCCGCAGTGCACGGTGAACGCGGACAAACAGCCATATGTAAGCTCTTTGGCAACTACGAGAGATCCAACATGCCGGCTCTCGCCCTGCTCAGTGTAACTAAACGCCAGGTACTTGGTCTGACAAGAATACTACTCTCGTCGATACTAACTACCACAATATTAAGACAATGATGCCATAACACTTGAACCATATGACTTTATTAATGCTCTGACTTACTGTAATAAGTTTGGGAGCTGGCAACTTCTCACTCGTGCCCTTGGGCTCGAAACCATTGCTTCCCTGGCCCCAGGTAGGGTTTAGGGCTTAGGTCTAGGGATCAAGGGATTTTCAGTGTAGACTCAGTTGAAAACAACATGGCACCAGAGCCCCGTACATCGCCCATCCATCAAAGGCTAAAGGGAATCCCTGATATCATTTAGGGCATCTTAAGGAAAAATACACCCCAGACCCTAAACCTCCCTAAGCCTCCCTAAGCGCTCTCTGGCTGGCACATGGCGCACGGTACTAGGCCCCCGGGCTGGCAGCGGCTCGGACGACGCAGCGGGCTCCTCCTGAGAATCGCGGGTCTGCTCTTGGGTACTGTAGGGTTCTATGATGGGATCTCCTTTAAGGCCTGCTATAGGGTTCTCAAGTTAAGGGGTACTTTAGGGTTCTATGATGGGGACTTTAAGGGGAACTACAGGGGTCTGTTCTGCCCTCCGGAACTGGTCATGTACACTATGAGCCTCCAAGCCAATAGCGTGCCAGCATGATCTAGTCGAATCGCGCACTACAAAAAAACAGGTGTCCTATGGGCTCCTTTGTGCTGGCTCCTTTAAGGGCTTCTGCTAACATGTGGTCTTGTGGACCACCTTCAGTATATGTCGGTTTTCGGGTCCGGCTGGGGAAACGACAGGTACAGGGGTTTAAGATTTTAGTATTCAAACTCTTAAAGGGTCTGGGCTCTAAGCTCCAGGGAGTGTAGGATTTCTGGTTTAGGGTTTAGGGTTTGGGGTTCAGGGTTTGGAATTTCGGAATTTCGGGGATGCTGGAGCCTCGACGGGAAGGTGCAAATGCTCGAACTTCTGGATTTCGAGCTCCTCGGTCCACATGCAGGTCCATGCCTTTTATACCACTAGCCGAAACGCACACCCTACACAGACTGAGCACAGACCCCGAACCTAGAAAAACCTGCACTAAAATCGCCCTAAATCCTCGGCCCTCAGACCCTGAAGCCCTCCAATCAGGCAGAAGCTTGCCTAAATCCTTCGATCCTCGCAGGCCCTTGCAGACCTGAGCCTCGGGCGGAAGGGGCCAAGGCAGATGTCCGGTGTCTTTCGTGTCTTGCGTCCTGAGCTTGTGGAGTCTTGGGATTTGAGACGGCGAGCTCCAAGGAAGTTTCACAGGCTTCTTGGTGGCAGCTCTGAATCCACGAAGCCTGAACCCGCCTCAACCCCCGACCTGCTCCCGTCTCCCGCTACGCCAGACCTACCCGGGCCGGCAGGCAGGTTGAAAAGGGGGAGAGATGCAAGCAAGAATCCCCTGCACTCGGCGCGAGCTCTGCGAAGATCTCAGGGCGCACGCAGAAGCTCGGGCCCAAGGCCAGGACCAGGCACACCACGGAGAGCCATGAGATGCGAGATATGGAAGGAAGGACTGAACAAACTGCGGATGCCATGAGCTTGAGCCCAGGCCTCGGAGAAGCACGGGAATTGGTGCGAAAGCGCGTGACCGTGCATGTGGCAGTGCTCTCATCTTGATTGAATCTGCGCCGGGCAAGTATATAGTTCTGAAACCTGTCTGTTTGTAGACGCATGTTTGAAGCCCTCTTGCTCATTTGGACATGTCGTCTGATGCATCAGCCCCTGCGCAAGGATGACACGCAGAACGAGTCATCACTGAGGTTAACCATAAACTATGCCAACAATGGTTGGCTCAAGGTTCGGAGATGCAGAAAGACTGTGCGGGATTTTGGGTGTTTTGGGGTTTTGGGGTTGGGTTGCCCCTGCCTGGTACCCTTGTCCCCCCTGTCCCGGTACCCTCGTCCTTTACCCCGGTTCAGGGTGTACAGGGTGTTCAGGGTGCGTTCGTTCAGGGATTCAGGGCTAAGAGGTGAATGAGGATTGAGGTTAGAGGTGAAAGCGATGGCGGGGGATACTGATGATAGGATGCCTCAGGTTTTGATGAATGATGTTCCGATCCAGATGCTTTCTCCTACTCCCTCTCATTTCTCTGTTGTCACCGAAAGCAGCCCTAACCAACATCAGGTCATGAGCCCAAGCGCTCCGGGCCGTAACTCCGTAGAACAGCAACAGCAGTCATCTTCACTTCCTGTCACTAGCCAGGGCATGCAAGCTGGAGATGTTGTTATGAGTGCACCAGGAGCAGATTTCTTGATTCGGCAGATGCAACAGATCAGGACAGCTAATGGCGACGTGATCCAATTGATGAGGCAACTTGAAGGGTCCCAATGGAACATGGTAGCCATAAGCAACATTGAGCAGGTGCAACAAAATCTCGAAGGGCTTCGCATAGAGGCGGAGCGCCGAACGAATATACTTGCGACAGGCTTAACTACGGCTGTAGCGGGAATTGATCAGCTACGGGAGGCTGCAGTGCAGAGCAATCAAGTGTATGATCTGTTGGGTCAGCGTGTGACTGAGTTGACAGAGGGCGTGAAACATCTTGTTCAGCGAGTCGATGGCATCGAGGGACAAGTGTTTCTCCATGAGGCGATGAGCCAAAGATTGAATGAGCTGAATGACCGCGTGCTCAGATTGGAGTCCCTGGGTTTAGCTAGTGGCGATGCCGAGAGGGAAACCTTCATGAAGCAGAATAAACTTGAATCAGACAAGCTGTGGTTGAGGATTCTTGATTTACAAGAGGTCGTTCAGAAACTCGAGTCCAGACCTCGTGTTGATGAGAGTGAACGATCAAAGGAGCTTGCATCGGTCATGGCACGAATTGTGGAAACTGAACGGATTTGCAAACAGCTGCGAGCGAGAGATGAGGAGATCCAAGGTCACCTTAGCCATATCTTGAGCCGTGAAACAAAGACAGATCCTCCAGTACCAGAGCGTGCGCATGAGGTGCAAGATAATGGACCTAGCGGGGTCCAAACATTCAACATGGCGAGTGGGACGCCACTCCAGGATGAAGCGGATGATGATCGAGACCAGTGGTGGGATGCTTTTGATGAGAAGCCGATCAAGGATTGGTTTGGGAACCCACCTGGGCTGACTAACGGTACATGGGCACCAAGTGCTCCACCTCCAGCCTTACCTCGTGAGTTCGTAAGGGCAGATACATCTTTGACTGTAGGTCAAGCATTGCAGTTGGAGCCCAAAGATCTGCGCGTTCAAGGTGGTCAGTGGAAATTGATGAAGGAGTTTCCAAAGATTCTTGATCCACGTGGGCAGGCATGGGAACGAGGCCTTCAGTTTTCACAGTATGCCACTGAGATGGTGTCAGTTGCGTCGTGTATCGGCACGGGCTTCGGAAAGTTCGTTAGGCACCAAATCGATACTGCATTGGGGCGTTTCCAACGACGCATGGATGCCGGAGTTCCTGACCCCGACGTCCCTCCAGTTGCAAGCGGTTGTGAAGAATTTGAGAGTAGGTTGGCCATGACTTTGCTTTCCCAGACGAGTGACGATATTAAGCGAGGTGTGATTGAATCTGCTGCGGGTCAAGTGGTTCCTTCTTTGACGATCTTAGAGGCCATTCTTGAGCGCTACCAGCCCGGTGGCATCGAGGAGAAATCAAGCTTGACATCATTCTTGAGGAACCTACCGCAGGCGGGTACATTCACTGAGTGTTTGGCAACACTTAGAAGGTTGAAGCTGGCCACATCAAGGATTCTTGTTCTTGGATTGCCGAGCCATCCCCCACATGAAGCTATTTCTTCCCTTAACAACATGGTGCGAACTTTGGAAAAGAAGAGTCCCACCTTGAGTACACGCTTGAATCTGCTTCGACTTCGCCCTGAGATCTTGAATCCCACCGAGGAGGGAGTGAGTCTCCTACAGACGGCAATTGAGGCGGAAGCGCGACGGCTTGCAGCAGAGGAGTTCTCCAAGCCACATCATGCCAAGGGTTCTGATGTTGGTACTGGGGAATATGAGATCACTGCTGCTAAGGGTAAGGGGAAAGGGAAGAAAGGGAAAGCAACAGGGGACACCAAGTTCACTCCATGCGCATTCTTCAACACCGAGCGGGGATGCTTGAAAGGAAACGATTGCGAGTATTGGCATGGTGATCCTAAAGGGGCAAAGGCCAAAGGCAAAGGCAAGGGCAAGGAGGATGCGAAATCAAGAACAGCAGCCAAGGAGGCTGAAGCGAAGGCTAAGGCGAAAGCGGAAGCCAAGGAAGCCAAAGCCAAAGCCAAGGCTGCGGCAAAGGAAGCAGCAGCAAAGGGTAAACCGGAACCCAAGGCGAAACCAGGAGCTAAGGCTAAAGCGGCTGCACTTGTTGGAGCTGAAGCAAAGTCTGCCTCATGTTATCGGGTGTGTGCAAATATGGCATTGCGTGGGAGTGATCAACTCTCTGAAGAAGGCAACTCTTCTCCTTCAGAGCTTTCTGAGCTGGATAGTGTTGAAAGCGGCGACTCAACCCCGAGCGAGTTTGGGGATGAGTCTCAGGAGGAGAGTGATGATGATCAGGTTGCATGGATCTGGAGCTTACGCTTGACGGGTTTGGAATGGAGAATGTGGACTAGCCCGGGTAACATTGTCATTAAGGCTCACGCGGAGTTTGAACACATCGACGATTATCACAGAGTTGAGCATGGAGCATGGCATTTGCAAAGGGCAGGTCAGCTAGATGAGCTTCCAGCTGTGTTGAATGATGAATGGACTGTCACAGCTGTGCACACTGTATGGGCTTTGGATCCAGTCACAAGGGTCTTCAAGAGGGCCGAGGCTTTTGAGCTTGAGCGTGTTGATGATCAGAGCAAGCTTCGCTTTGTGGTTGCAGTGGAAAGAAATCGACCGTACGTGGAGCCATGGACCGAGGATGCATGGGTTAGCGAGTGCTTGAGATTTGGCTTTGGTGCTCCCAACGCTTTCATTCAGGAAAGGATTCCGCTCGAGTCCATGTTGATTGGCCACGGGTTTGATCACTTAGCTGAGGTTCTGGGTTTACTGGGTGCCGAGTATGCTGATGATCTTACTGTTTTGGGTCCTCAAGACTTGATTGACAACGGAGTTCCGCGGCAGATTGCCGAGGATTTCTTTCAGCATGGAGGTGTCATGTCTGAGGCGTACACCCCGATCGGGGCCCAGAGATTTCGGATGAATGAAGACCGTATTGAGGAGCTTGCATTCTCTCTTTATGCTTCGTGGCAGGCTGGGGATCCGGTGAGTGATGAAGAGTACAATGCTGAAGTTCAGCAAAGATTTCACGGCATGATACGTAGGCGGCGCCAGGGTGCCGCAAACATGTGTTGTGTATCGGGCAATCGTGCTGAGAGTGACGGGTTTGTTCTTGTTGACAGTGGGGCAAATGAAGTGCTTCGTCCACAGACCAAACAACAGCCTGCAGTAGATGAGAAAACGCTTCAGGTCACTCTTGCATCAGGTTCGCATTGCACGGCCACTTTGAACAAGCACGGAGAGGTGTGCATGATATCCGAGAATGGGGCGAAGGGAGAGTGGATCGTGGGAGTGAGGAAGATCATTGACATTGGAGGGGCATTCAATTGGGACCAGAAGGGCGCTAGGATATCATATCCCCATCCTTTTGAGCATGGCAGGATTGTGACCGTTGATTGCATCGTTACCAATGGTTTGCCGTACATGCGATGGTCTGATTTCAAACTCGCGCGCATTGCACTCAGCAAACATTACCGGAAGCAGCAGAAGGGCACTTGTAGCCACAAGGCCACCGCATGCAACCCCGAAGAACCTTCCATTCCTCCCGAAAGCCAGGTCGTTGACTGGGTTGATGTTTTGGAGTTTCAGGAGGAGCCTGAGAGTCACGTTCAGGGTTGCAAGGCCGTTGAGGTTGTGACTAGCGAATCCTTTGCGAAAGGGCTGCTTGAAAAGGACTGCATCGAACACGGTGAGGTTCTCGAAGCTGTTAAGATGGCAGGCCTGAGGCCCATGATCCTTCGTAGGAGTTCTAAAGTGATCGGAGAACCATCGGTTGCGAAGATTTGGGTTTTTGGGTCCTATGTTAAGGGCGGTCTGTATGGAGTGACGCGCATCACCAAACAACACCCCTTCCTTACCAAACTTGCCGTGAAGTACATGAAGCAACACACCAAAGATCCTTTTATGGCTGTTGTTATAGCTGAAGACGTGGCCTTCAGGCCGCATCGCGATCCGAATGACGGCTCGTTTGATTCTACGATCGTAGGTCTTAGTAGCTTCCAGGGAGGCCATTTGTGGACAGAAGTCGCATCGAGCGAACTAGATGAAGATCAGGCTGTGTGGCGGTATGTGGAGGCGGATTCCGCGCCCATCCCGGGAAAGCTACATAGACTTGATGAAGGGCGATCGGCCAGATTCTGTGGAACTTGCTGGCATGGCACAGAACCATATGCTGGTAACAGGGTCGTGATGGTCTCGTATGTTCCAAGGGGCTGGAAAGCTCTTGATTTGGATTCGCGAGGGCAGCTTGAGGAGTTGGGATTTAGATTGCCACATCAAGATTCCAGTGCCAGACTCTTTGCAGCCAGTGACGCGGACATTGCAGCTTTCAGGGCATTGATCGCACAAGCATCAGAGATATGCTTGAAGCCCGAGGCCGCAGTGACGCTTGAGGAGCGAAACACATTACAGCATGACACATACAAGCATTCTACACAGCAGCATTCCTCTCATCTCCATTCTCCTGATGACAATGATGATGAAGGGAATGAGGGTTGTGGTGAGGTGTGGGGTTGTGAGGGTTATGTTGAAGGAGAAGTCCGGAGCGAGAGAGAGACCGAGCACCCATGGCCGGGCGCCTCTGACTTTGACTTGAAATCACCCCTCACTTCTTCCCCTCAGGATGCTGTGCGTAAGGCTTGCCGAGAAGGATTGTATGATAAGAAGAATCATGCCAGCATCCAAGCGAGAGGCCATCGTCGGCCCCACAGGAAGCTATCTGCGAAAGACGTTAGCGACGGAGTGATTTCAATAGACTTGAGTGGACCGCACAAGCAATCCTTTGCAGGGAATCGCTATGCATTGGTTGCATGTGCACACATCGCTGAAGGTCTTGATCTGCCTTTTGTGCGAGGGATTCGCACTAAGGAGGCAGCAGTTGTGACAGAGGCTTTGCGAGACATCTTGAATCAGTTGGTGTCCATGGCTGAAGGGCAACAGATCACTTTCCGGATTCATTCTGATCAGGGTCGTGAGTTCACTGCTCGTCTGTCCGCTGAACAGCTTAAGACTTACAATCATTACCGAACTTTCGCGGTCCCCTATTCACATCAATCGAACGGACGAGTAGAGAACTTGATCGACCAACTGAAAACATCAACTGCCTCTATGCTCCTAGGCGGTAAGCTGGATTTGAGATTCTGGGATGAGCTAATGGTTCATGCTGCAAAGCTCCGGCGCATGAGAGCGCTGAACATGAAGATTCCCAGAGATCTTCCTGCTCCAGGCGATTACGTATTGTCGCGACTACCTAGGGATCAGATGCCTGATTTTCGGGATCGCACGGAACCCGGAATCTTCTTGGGTCTTTCGGAGCATGTGGCAAACGGGTCCAAGGTGTTGGTTGAGCGTGATGGGCGTGTCCTTGTTCGGTATGCTCGACTGCCGATTCTTCTTGATAAGGAGAAACCACGATGGAGACTCGTAGAGAATCCTGGTAGCGATCAGAAAACATGGATTTCGGACAAAGGGCAGATTGCATGGGCTGCACCATCTGATGCAGACATCCTCACGATGGAGGAGAAGCTAGGATACCACATCGCGAGCCCGGATGAGGTGTTCGTGAAGCTGAACAATCTACTTGAGAAGACTCGAGGGTCTGAGGTAGAAAAGGAGATCTTCAACTTGTTCAGCCATGGTATCATCGCTCAGCTACCGGAGGTTGCCGAAGCCCATATGCTCAGGATGCAAAACATCAACGAGGAGACTCAGGAGGAGCCTAAACCGGAAGATGAACCTGAAGATTCATTTGGACATAAGTTCATGAAAGCAGTGGCTAGCCGGGCAGTGTCTGCTCCAGTTGATTGTGCACCTGACAAGTCCGAGAAGTACATCACAAGAACAGAAGAGGATGAGCGTGAAACGGATGAGATCTTTCAGAGCTTATTGCATGAAGCGCAGCAGCGGCGGGGATCAGCAGAAGTGGTACCAAATTCTGTCTTGACAGGAGAACATGCTGAACAGTGGATTGGAGCAGTCAGAAAAGAGATGACTAGTGTAGAAACCAAAGAAGTTCTGATGCCCATTCGCGTAGGTCATGAAAGAGAAGACTTGCAATTGAAGGATGATGAGGAGATTCCTCGAACTATACCCATGAAGCTGGTGTTATCCGAAAAACCAGTAGAACCTGGCAGCACTGAGAAAGGCATTGACAACCAAGGGTTTCTCGCGAAAGCGAGGTTGGTAGCTTGCGGAAATTTCCAAAACAATGAGTTCGCAAAGGACGAGCTATCAACGGAGAACGTCCCATCTTGGATAGTGCGTACAATGTACCACAAGCTTGCTCAGGAACCAATGTGGGTGGCAGGTGCGGCAGATATATCGACAGCATTCCTCAATACGGAGTTGAGGCGAGGAGAAGCGCCACTTCTTGATCCACCAGCGGTAATGAAGAAGTTAGGTTTGGTGGAAAAGGGGGTTAAATTCCTCCCGCTGAAAGCGCTGTATGGGCTTCGGATTTCGCCTAAGGAGTGGGCAAAAGACAGAGACTCAACCTTGAATGGGAGCGTTCTTGAGCCTCGTGAAGGAGATAAGATGCCAGCAGCACGACTTGAACCCCTTGATATTTGCGAGGGCCTTTGGAGGCTGGTGAATGTTGCATCGGGAGAAGTGATGGGATTACTGACCTTGTACGTGGACGACGTACTGGTTGTAGCATGCCCTGAAATGGTATCGCGATGTCTGGAGTTTATTGGTCAGAAATGGCATTGAAACTTCAGGGATTTGTTAGCCGTGCAGCGTGTGACATCACATGTGGAAGTTTGGGGCAACTGGAACGTAAGACGGAGCTCGTCTTCCTTGGAGTGCAAATGGGATTTAACGCGGAGGGCGATGTGATCATCAATCAACGCGCGTGGATTCTACAGGAGCTCCATCGTCGACAATGGTTGCACCTTAAGGGTTGTGCAGCTTTACCGCAGCTTGAGCTTGACGACGATGAGGTCAAGGACGAGGCCTATGAACAGAATAAGCTTGAGTGTCAGCGAGAATTAGGCACACTTTTGTGGGTGAGTACGCGGTCGAGGCCTGACATAGCCAGCACGGCGGGGATTTTGGCATCGGAGTTGACTCATAGACCAAAGCGGGTTTTGCAGTTGATTCGCCATGTGTGGCGATACATCCGTGGAACATTGGACGTTTGCCTTACCTACAAGGCGCAGAAAGACATCAAGGAGTTCACATGTTTCAGTGACGCATCATTCGCACCAACAGCTGGAAGATCGCGATCGGGCATGGTGTATATGATAGGAACTAGCATCATAGACTGGGCGTCTGCAAAACAAACGCTGACAGCATGGTCGGCGACGGAGGCCGAAACCGTCGCGATGTCAGAATGCCTGAGCCAGGGCGGGCGGATGCAGAATGCAGTAAATCTGCTGGTTGGAATGACGCTCCCCATCACACTTCGGTGCGATAATGCGGCGGCGATTATCTTAGCACTTCGAGAGACATTTCAACCACTAAAATGGAAAACACGTGGAGTAGCTCTTCGGGCTAGCTGGTTACGGGATTCCATTCGGGATCTGGAAGCTGGGGTCATTCATGAGCCGGGGGAAACTCTGGTAGCAGATCTGCTTACGAAGACTCTCCCACGAGTTCGGCTGCAAACTCTCAGAGAGAAGGCTGGACTTCTTGAGCGAACGTGACGCACTTTGCATTGCTAATGGGAGCAATGCTGGATACATGAACTTCACTAGTGACCTTTGTCCTGCATAAACGGTTCGGGATCACTGGTGCTAATCTTTTCTTAGGGGTTCTGCCGAAGGAATAGTCCAGCAGAATCTGTGCATGAGCGCTTTTGGGGAGCTGTGCGCAGTGCCTGGAGGGTGCTGCGAGCATCAAGATTTGACAACTCCCAGCAAGGAGGAGTGTTTGTAGACGCATGTTTGAAGCCCTCTTGCTCATTTGGACATGTCGTCTGATGCATCAGCCCCTGCGCAAGGATGACACGCAGAACGAGTCATCACTGAGGTTAACCATAAACTATGCCAACAATGGTTGGCTCAAGGTTCGGAGATGCAGAAAGACTGTGCGGGATTTTGGGTGTTTTGGGGTTTTGGGGTTGGGTTGCCCCTGCCTGGTACCCTTGTCCCCCCTGTCCCGGTACCCTCGTCCTTTACCCCGGTTCAGGGTGTACAGGGTGTTCAGGGTGCGTTCGTTCAGGGATTCAGGGCTAAGAGGTGAATGAGGATTGAGGTTAGAGGTGAAAGCGATGGCGGGGGATACTGATGATAGGATGCCTCAGGTTTTGATGAATGATGTTCCGATCCAGATGCTTTCTCCTACTCCCTCTCATTTCTCTGTTGTCACCGAAAGCAGCCCTAACCAACATCACTGTCAATCCCAACACATCTCGCCATGCCTCACTAAAAGTTGTGCACGCCTCTATGCACCCTCTTAAGGCTTCAGGCCCAAGCTCCCTACATACCCTCCGAGGCATCGGAAAGACATCTCAGCCTGAAGACATCATCCCTCGGGGGTGACGGTCACGAAGCCCTCGGTCAGCGGCCTTCGCTTAGGATTCTCTGGGGTATTCATACGGTCCTCGGAACCTTTAGGGTTTAGGGCTTAGGGTTTAGGGTCTGGGGCTTAGGGTTTAGGGTTTAAGGCTTATGTTTGGGGCTTAGGGTTTAGGTTTTTTCGGTGTTCGTATGGTGAAGGGGTCTCACTTCCTCAGAACAACCGTCAGGGTCTTTTGGCTAGAATGCCGCCCAACTGCCATCTAGAAGAGCTTAAAGATCCACTCGCTAGGACCCTAAACCTTAAACCAAGTAGAACCCTGGCCCCAGAGAGCCCAATGTCCCTCAATGGTGAACTAATTGTCTTCTGTCACTTGACCCAATTTCACGGACCTCATAAGGTTTATGGCAGCTTCATTAAATATCGAGGCAATATACCAACAAAATATATGAAGCGTGCGGCCCTCTGGGAATCACTCCAGCTCTGCTTCTCCAACCCTCCGGGCCTCACTAGGGTCGCGTCGGCAAGCACCGTCAGGTTTTGCCCATTTTCCAAGTCCGTCCGCCTTGTGCTGAACCTTGACTAGGATACCCAGTAACCTAAGAATAAAAAGGCCTCTCGTTTTGGTATTGGGTAACTTTATAAGGAACCTAGGACTACAAAAAGGGAATAAGGGTACTACTGGGCATCCTGGTTGAGTGTGGTTCGAGTCTTGGGGATTTGCGGTTTTAAGGATTTTCGGGCACTGGGTATTTACTGGGGCTTTGGGAGCAATGCTCGGGTTGTGACCGTAACAGCAAAAGCAGTCTTATGGTCTTATTGCTTTGTGTGTCGAAAGATACGATGCGCTTCAGCATGACAACATACAAGTCCTTCGGCCTTGCTCTGTTTAAGCATCCTTTAGATGGTCACGTGTGCGGGCTGCTCGTTGGGGCTAGCAAGGCTAACTGGTGAAAACGCCGAATGCTACGATCAGGCCAGGCTTTGTGTTGTGTTGCCACTTTTTGCTCGCGCCCCCTGTCGCTGGTCCCTAGAATTGTTTGTGGTGTCCACCCCGCAGGTCCAGAGTGTTTCTGTTTTGGGCCCCGTTGGGCTCCACAACCTTAATTCGGCGGGGCCGGAGCGAAACATAAAGGCACCACTCAAGGTGCAGGTGTTGTTTTGGCTGTTGCCCCGTCGGGTCTTTTAGACCCGATGTGGTAGACCAAACATTTGGGGGCTGGAGCAATAACACCACCACCCGGCCCGGGAAGCATCGCGGCCCAGGCCCGCAGTGAGTGAGCGTCAGGGGGTCGCCCCGGTCCACAGTGAGTGAGCGAGCGTCCTCAGGTGATTTTTTCTGGGCTGCCCGCCCCCCGACGCGGGAACAAGATGGTGTTGCTTTTTTTGTTCGGGCCGCGGCGCTGGCCGCGATGCTTCCCGGGCCGGGTGGTGTGTTTGTTTTAGCTCCAGCCCCCCCGAAGCCGGCGAGCCAATAACAATCAAGTCTACTATATCGGGTCTAAAAAGACCCAGCCGTGCAACAGCAAACAAACAAACACACACTACTTCCGCTAGGTTCATCGTTGGTATTCGCGACTCACTAACCCTAAACCCGAACCCTACAAGGGTAGTTCTCCAAACTAGGGTCTCTTTCTCTGATCCGTTTTACAAGGGTGCCGTGCGATGTCTGGGACCTAATAACGGGACCCCAATTCCCCAATTTAGAGAACTCCGATGACCCTGATTCGGAGAACTACCCACAAAATAGCAAATCCTTGAAACCAGACTGGGCCGGCGGCAGCTCGAAGCCGCGCTGCTCCGTGGAGCCATCCACATTCTGCTTCAAGACCAGTGGGCGGCCTAAGGGATCGCAGTATGATAGAATTGTAGTAAAATAGGGTATTCGAGTGATATAGCATTCTGTCTAGTGTTTCTCATACTAAATTACAGTTTGGTAGTATTCTGGTCCAGGACTTAGGGTGCAGGGGATTGAAGTTCGGGTTGTAGGCCATAAACCCTAAGGCCTGAAAGCGTCTAGGAATTCTGGCCTGTGGCGTAGTCACACCGGAGCCAGTACATCTCCTCACCCTCTTCGGTGGCTTTGGAATATATGCGAAAGCCCCCCAGTCGAGCATACCTGCTAGGAGGAATCCTCACTTTCCGGACGACCGGATATGCCTTCCGGAACGAGGGGCTGTAGCTCTTTCCATTCACCTGGGTAGCTGTTCACAGAAAGCTTTCGTTCAATCAAGACCCCCTCAAGCCTGAATCCTGACTGCTGATTCCTGAACCAAGCTCCGCTGTGCCTTCAACCTCGAGCTCATACTAGTATGGTCAACCCCCAACCCTCCCTAAAACCCTCCGTAACCCCGCCCTAGACCTTAGACCCTAAACCTAATCCCTAATTCCCTCCCTAAACCCTAAGATTTCAGCAACTCCCCACCTCGAGCATCACGGTCTGTGTACAGGACGGTGCCTCTTCGGAGCTGATGTTCGGAAACAACCGCAATCCCCATACGTCCTTCTTCAGGGTTAGGGTCAGGGTTTAGAGACTTCATCTTGGGTTTAGGCTACGTGTTTAGGGGTTAGGGTTTGGGGTTGGGGGTCCCTGCCCGTCCGTGATCATGATGGTGGGTTTAAGGGTGTAGGGGTTTAAGATTGAGAGCTTGGGGCGCTTCGGGTTTGATGAACATGCTGCGCTTGAGGTTTACGGGTTTAGGGTCTGGGGCTTAGGGCCCGCAGACGTCCTTGATCATGATGGTGCAGTTCCAGAGCCGGTCGGTGGAAAGCAAAAGATCCGGCAGGACCTCGTTCACGAACGTCACTTCCTTGTCGTCGTCTTCCTGTTATTACTGCTGATGGACAAAATCCTGCATGGCCCTAAGGACTCTAAACTATGGGAGCTATGGTACATTCCTTATGATGGGTAATGCAGGATTTTGTCCATCAACAGTAGGATTATGAGGCCTTTGCACCTCCTAGACTAGACTCTCCAGCTGTGCTTTAGATTCTGTAGGTGAGCCACGAAATGCAGCAGTGCTACTCGAGCGTTGACTGGTGATGTTGACAACGACAGCCATAAAGAATGATAGGTCATGCTGGTGATTGCAATCAGGAATGTTCATGCTTTTGACGTCTTAGTAAATGTCATTGTTGGTGGTGGGGCATCAAGTCAAGCTACAACTTCTACTGCAACAACTGTGATCTATGCAACTCGGCAACGACGACGCGGACGAAGACACCAACAAACACGACTGCGAAGACAAAGACGACAACGACCACGACTGCTGTGACCAGTACGACGATTACGACTAACGGACGACCACTTCTACTCCTCCTGTTGCTCGTCTACTGCTTCTACGGTTGCTACGACTACTACGACTACTACCCGTGAGCACTAAGACTACAACAACTACTGCGACTGCTACTGCGACTGCGACTGCGACTACGGCGGCTGCTGCTGCTGCTGCTGCTGGCACTGCTCCTACCTAAACTCCCATACTCCTCTACTCCTATACTCCTAAACTCCTGCTCCAACTCTTCCTGCTACTCCTACTCTCACTCCTACTCCTACTCCTACTACTACTACTACTACTGCTACTACTACTGCTCCTGCTACGACGACTACTACTACTACTGCTTACTCCTACTGCTACTGCTACTGCTACTGCTACTCCTACTCCTACTCCTACTACTACTACTACTACTACTACTAGTAGTACTACTACTGCTACTACTGCTACTGCTACTGCTACTACTACTCCTACTGCTACTACTACTACTACTACTACTACTACTACTACGACCTGCATACATGATTGCGTATCATGTACTTCGGATTATGTACTATTAGTACTCATAATGGTATTGACTCTACTACTCTACTATTTCTATCAACACTAGTACGCATAGTGCTAGTACTCATACTGATGCTACTACCAAAACTAAAGTTACCAAGTTCATCACAATGTCTTGATTCAAGCAATTCGCATCATCATTACTACTTGTAGGTACCTATATCACTGCCAAGCCCACCTCCTGCCCCTCGTGGAGCCACATCTCTGCGGCCCCGCCGCCCTGCCTGATCTCGAGAATGCCGTCCTCTGCACCCTCCTTGTCGGGCGACTGCCTCTTTAAAGGGTTCCTTAAAAGGGATCTGTAGGAATACTTCAAGGGTATAGGGTTCCTTAAAGGGATGTATAGTAGGGTTCTGCAATATAGTGGCCTTAATAATTAGAATAGCTCTTGGGGTATAGTATACTATAACCATAATAAGGAAACCCCACAATAGTATTGGTAACTATTTAAGCCCCTATATTACGGCCAAAGGGTCGGAAGTTGTCGCGGACTCAGGGTTTAAGATTAGGGAAGTTGCGCTTCGGTGTTTGGGGCTCAGGGTAGGGGGTTAAGGGCTCCCTTCTGCACATAATGCACGGCCTGATTAGGACTGGAGTTCCTTTCAAGGTATTGCAGCCGATGTAGGTGTTGGTCTCAGTGCCAGTTTTGAAATCCTTCGTTGTCCAAACCCAGGCCCCAGAAGGCAGTTGCATCTCGTCCTCGTACAAGATGGCAGAAGCTTGAATAAACTCATCATACTGGTTCCAGCCCTCGACAGCAACAAGGATGTCACTGTTGCAATGCTTCGGATGTCGCAGAGCGTGCCGCATTTTCTGAATGGTGGCACCTGGGAACAGGGAAAAATTGCACTGGGGAAGTGCAAGTACATAGACGTATACTGCCACATGATTGCAGGGCATCCCAGCCAGGAGCACTTCTGGAGGTTGGGGGGGGCGACTATCTTATCTACCACCACTACCACTACCACTGCCACTCGTGCCACTACTTAGCCACCACCATCATGATCAACGCCACCTCCAGTCCCGCTGCTAGCTCACTGCAGCATCACCACTGTTGCCGCTGCTGGGCGGCTTCCAATGCTACACTCATGTAATCGTCTATGACGTGATTGCGACGGTCAACGACACATCGACCTGATGCCATTACACCACCAACCACGCGCCGCGGCAAATGCTGCCACTGCTGCTGCGGCTGGGAAGCATGGAAAACAACAATGCTCAGAAGAAGCAGAATATCAATGCTAAATTCATGCAAGTCCAAATGCTACTGCAAGTCTTCTGAGCCAGTGCGAATGCACTTGTCATGCTGGAGATCTGACGCTCACTACGGCCGCACTGCCGACTGTGGAGTTCATTTCTCTTTCGAGAGACAGCGATACCAGTTCAAAAGACTACAGCAGGAACGAGAACCATTTATGTAACCCTTAAAGACCTTCCGCGAAACAAAAGCAACAAAACCAACTAAAAGACAGCTGCTTCTTCGCCCGGCCGCGTATTTCCGGATCTGAGGTCGTCGTGGTAGTCGTCGGAATGTTGTACGGTACTAGCCCAAGGTCTGAAACCTTTGCGGTTTTCGTATTGGAGTTTAGGGTTTAGGGTTCAGGATTGCTGTAGGGGTTTTGCAAGGGTCATACAAAGTTTCCATGAGTCACGCCCTAGACCCACAACCCTGAATGGTTCATTCCATAGAGCCGGCGGTTCCAAAGGCTGCGTTCCATCATCACGCGTTTCATGTAGGGCCTTAATAATTAGAGTCAGGTTTTGGTCGCCTTTATAGCGTTATGATAATAAGGAACCCTACGGAATAATATTGTTAATCATTTCGACTTCCATGTTAACACCACACAACCCTCCCAGAATCCCATAGCATTTGTGATGCTTAGAGCGTCTTCTTGTTTGCAATCGAGTCTTCAATTCTTCCACTCCTCACTCTGGAATTTTGTGTTCAGGGGAAGGATTGTGGTTTTGTGACGTGCTAGTGAAAAAAACCGATGTTGGGTGGTGAAGACTCACAGTCTTCGTGGACTCAGCAGGGGCATCCTCACCCCTGCCTGAACTCCAATTATCTCCTATCCAAATGCCCTAAACCACACAACCGAGCCCCTAAAGCCGAAAACCTAAAGAGTAAACCCTAACACTTAAAAACTAAAGCCGAACACCTGAAGACTGAACCCTAACACTCAAAGTCTAAAGCCGAAAACCTAAAGACTCAACCCCAACACCTAAAATTCTACATTCTAAAGCCGAAAGCCTAAACCCCGAACCTCGCATCATGCGAGCCTTGATGGGGTAGGCAGAGGGTGGAGACGGCCCAGATGCCTATACTGAACTTGGAACCCTAGCAAAAAATATAATTTTAGCTGTTTCTGAGGGATTATAATAACCAGAAAAAAGTTATTTCTCAAAGTACCCCTAAGATGCAGAGATCTGGTGGAGCGAGCGCGTCGTCGCCGCCAGCCTCGCCAGGCAGAGCCACGGCAAAAGCGTAAGGAAGGGTTTCCGTTCAGAAGGGGCCGCATGCGCCATGGAGGCAGGAGGAGAAAGGGAAAGACACTCGGATTCCTCACCGCAACGACATCTTGAGCCAAATTCAGCTGAAACGTTGCTGCTGTCGGGTCGAAGTTCAATTCTCAGCCGCGCCACCAATGAGCAAGCGAAGCCCAAAGAGGACAGACAACCCGAAACGACAGACGAAGACCATGCTGACGATGACGACGACGGAATCACGGAGATAACGACGATGGCATCCAATCGAACTATGCTGATGGCAGCAATGCTCAGCCTACTAATGTCAGTTCTTCTTGAACCTGGCCTTGGTAATCGCTAGTCAGACCGACCGTCATACTATGAGCCCGTATCGCACATACCTCCATTTATTCCCTGTTACCCTCAGCCGCACGAATATTGTAGGCATCGGAATAACCAGCATGAAAAGAGTATCCCTGTCTAATTATACTATACCGCAAAGCCGCATTCCGATTGTTAAGGGCCCTGGACTAAAAGCACTTGCAACAGAGGAACATGTATGACTGCCCTTTAAAGAGCCTTTAAAGCTCCCCAAACAAGACAAGCAAGGAGCCTTAGCAGGCCAAGGGATCTTTCAACTTCAGGCCCTGGTCAAAGGAGCTCCTGAAAAGCCACCGAAGTGACGTATGGGGTAGTTGTCAAAATCATGGTCGCTTTTTGGGCACCCTAAATATTAGGTGCCGTATTATGCTAAGGACCCAAAAAGGGACCATAATTTTGACAGCCACCCATCTGGAACCCTGATCCCTAAACCCTGCACCTTCCAAACCGTCTCTACTACCCTAGAGCTCCAGTTGCCTAAATAGCAGGTTACAAACCTTCTAATATGGAATATGCGAACCTACTACTTTGGTGACTGGAGCCCGGCCTGACGCACCCTTCCTAGGATACCCAGTAACCTAAGAATAAAATGGCCTCTCTTTTTGGTATTGGGTAACTTTATAAGGAACCTGGGACTACAAAAAGGGAATAAGGGTACGACTGGGCATCCTGGACCCTAATTTTCGGAAACCCTAAACCCTTTATAGAACCCTTATAGATCCCTTTGGGAACCCTTGTAGATCCCGTTAAGGAACCCTTATAGACCGCAACCCGGGGCCATTTTCTGCGCGCAGCAAGCACAAGGCTTAGAGACCCCAGATCCCCCAACATTCCCGGAGAGCCCAATATGCCAGAGGCGAAAAGCGTCTTGGTTAGGGTTTCACAGGGTTCCAAAGCGTCTTATGAGGGTATCCCCTAGAGCTCTAAAGGCACTATAGTTCCTCGTAAAGTTGGAAAAAGGCTGCGTAAGCTCTTGTTCTACCGTAGGCCCTGGCTCTTAGCAGAGAATTGGGGACTGGGTTCACTGGGTTGACGGGACTACTATGACCTTAAACCCCAAAGGGACCATCATAGGGATCCAATCCCCCATGCCCCAAGAACCAGGAGTAGGGGAGTCTGAACATCTGTGGATCTGTCTCCTTTATGGGTCGGCCGGTAGTAGTTAGGGTTTGCATTGCAAATTCCAGAGCGAGGAAGATGGCAGAATCCGGAAGGTTGACTGCTGATGATGAGGGCTCAGATGACTCAGGTGTGCAGTGGGGCTGCGGGCTTAAAGCTTAGATGCTTGCAGCAACGGCAAGGGTCCAAGTTTAAACTTTCCTGAAACCTGAAAGCCTAAACCCTATACTTTGCACGTAACCTTTGAACCCTAAACTTTGACTTCATGGATTCATATTAGGCTCTCCAGGCTCAAGTTCCACTCCCCATGGAACACAACCCTGTCGCCAGGCATTGCTGTTAAGGATTTGGCTTGGGGTTTAGGGCTTAGGGTGTAGGGCTCTTGATGGCCTATTTAACTCTAACCTCAACTTTTCCGGAAAGGCAGTGATCCCGAAGAGCAAACTTTGCTTCAACGAGACTTTCTGATCTTGAGCCTTGAAGCCCTGATCTCTGACGCTTGAAGGCGACATCACACGCCAGACGCTTCATCCGCGTCGATACTCACGCACGACCTGCCAGCAAGGCTTCAAGCATGACCTGACGACCTCGCTTTTACTTCTTTTTGGACATACTACGGCTACTCCTCCTCCCACTCCTGCTGCTGCTGCCTCCTGCAGCCTGCTGTTGTTGTTGTCGCTGCTGCTGCAACGACGACAACAACGACGACGGCGACGACCACGACCACGACGACGACTACTGCTACCAATATAAGTCAGTACTACTCGAGGGGACGGACAAAAAGCAAATAAAAGCAAGTAAATCCGGCTTGGGGTTGCGATGTGTTGAACAGGCTATTGGCATCGTCATGGTCTGCTTGGTCACCTAGGAAACTGGCTGAGAAGATGATCTTAAAACCTAAATTACTTAGTCGCTGAATTCATAAGCCCCAAAAAGTGTACACGTTCAGGTATATTGTGGGTAATAATATTATCCCAAAAAGTGTAAAGTGTATCCACTCAGCCACTAAGATTCTTTCGATCGGAGACCCCGAGAGAAGATCCCGATTCATCGAATCTCCTTGCAGTTCCTGGCCTCTTTACGAGTCCTGCTCGATGGGAGGGCCGAGCGCAACCGGTCAGAGCGGTCACTTGGAAGCCTAGGGGTTTGTGATCCAATTCCCTGCTTTTCCCTTTTAGGAATCATGGGGGCAAGCCCTGAATAAAGCCAATGGACTCTTACTACACCCAAGACCCTCATGCTAAAACCGTAGCCGTAAACTTCTCGGCCCCCACCCTCAATTCCGAACCTGAATCATCCTGTACCCTTCAAACTTCAAACCAAAATCCCCGAAAATCTACCTGCTTCTCAGACCCCACCCGAGCATCCTCGGGGTACTGGACGTGCGCTTCAGGGATTCGCCGAGCGTCAGCTGCTTTCCCGTCACCCCGGACCTGGCTTTGGGGTGTATTTCGGGTCTGTATAGGATTGCAGGATGCAAGGCTCAGCCGTACATATCAGGGATTACGGCTCAGGGCTTTCGGGGTCTATAGGAGTTCTCAAGGTGTAGGGTTTACTGCTTAGGGTTGAAGGGGGTGAGGACCTTGTTTCGGGCTCTGGAGTTAAAAGGCTTACTATACAGGGTTACAGATGTAGGGCTGGTGTTTATGACTAGTGCTTATGATTAAGGTTTGAAATTGCTAGTACAAGGGTTATAAAGGGCAGCTTGGGGTTTACGGTTTGGAGGTGTAGGTATGTAACATTGAAAGTGTGGACTAAAGTTTCGCGTATGGGGTTCATTATGTTGTACGTGGGCTGGTATAGGCTTGGCACTTCTTCCTTTGGCTAGGGTTTGGGTTCGGGATTGCGTGCTTCTCGAGTTAGGGGTGAAGACGTAGGGCCTCTTGGGAGGGGGAGTTAAACTGTGTCGGGTTGAGGGTCCATGGTCCAGGGTTCAGGGTTTGGTGGAGTCATGTGGAATCCTGGACTGTAGACAGTGGACAGCGGTGGTGGCTTTCGGGCTCCGTAAGGGTTTAAGGTTTTTGTTAGCTCCTATTTGCACCTGCCCCTAGGTCCAGCAGTTAAGGGTTTAGGATTATGAGCTTGGGATCTTCGGCTGAGGCATCGAAGGCCAGGAATTTGGTGTGGAGCGTCTTCGGTCTGCGGGTGCTGGGATGTTCGGGCTCTTGGGTGTGGGCGTTCGGGGTCTGAAGGAGGGCTGTGAGGTTGGAGGGTTCAGGGTTTAGGGTTCAGGGCATCAGACCTACATAAGTCAGGGCTGAACCATGCACCCCAATAAGACCGTCAAACCGAAAGCAGGGCTGGGTCGTCAGCCCTAAACCCTAAGCCCGACACCCTAGACCCTGAACCCGAAACTCTAGACCCGAAACCCTAACCCTCAACCCGAAACCCGAAACTCTGAACCAAACACCTCAACCCTGAACCCGAAACCCTAAACCCCCAAAGTCCAGACCCGAAAACCGAACACCCCAGACTCTACACCCTAAGCCCTAAACCCTAAACCCCTAAATGCCTAAACATGAGGTCCGGAACCCCTCAACGTCTGAACGGACACGCGCCTGAAAGCCAAGCGCCGAGTGCCCAAAGTCGAAGTCCCAGCCGGCGCAGGCCTCCGGGAGCCAGGCGCACTCTGGTTTAGGGCTTAGGGTTTAGGGTTTAGGGTTCAGGGTTCAGGGTCTAGGGTTTCGGGTTCAGGGTTTCGGGTTCAGGGTTTAGGGTTCAGGGTTTAAGGTTTAGGGTTGCCTTAAACTGCCATCACCTACAGGTTTGTAGGTTCCTGTTATAGCTTGTAACCCTAGTGTAGGATGCATGGAGACCCTACGATAAAGTAAGCTTTCGGCAGTACAAGGTAGACCCGAAACCGTGAACCCTGAACCCGAAACTTCAACCCTAAACCGCGTTCTTCTAAGAGCGACGTCCCCTTTTTCGGGATCCCAAAACGAATTCGAGGACTTCGATTCCGTCTTCTCCGGGCGCTTCAGGCGGACATCGACATGAATGTTCTAGGGCTTAAGGTTTAGAGCTTAGGGTTTGGACCCTCGGGTTTGGAGTTTGGGCCTTAGATTTTAGGGCTTAGAGTTTAGGGTTTGCCATGTCGGGTTTAGAATTTACGGTTTAGAGTAAGTTTAGAGTTTAGGCTTTAGGGATGCCAGTAGACCATATCTGCAACACTCTTTGCAACACCCTTAACACACCAGGCCCTGATGCGCGAGAAGTTTTCGCAGTGGCGGCCACCTGCCAACAACCCTACACCCTGGACCCGATACACTAAAACCCTGAACCCGAAGTACAAAATCTCCAGATCTCTGACTCGACGACACCAGCTCAAACAGGTCAGGTGCACCGCGAGATGGATGGCTCCTCTCCCAATTTGCTGCGGTTTGGGTTGGGATTGAGGGCTTCCCCCTTTCTAAGGCGAGATTATTGCGAAGACCTTTAGATTAGTATCCGAGAGCTCGAGCCCCCTTGTAGCACCCAGGACAGCCTTGCAGCAGTTGGAGATTGCACTTGTCGCCACTTCCAAAGCTCGGGTTTAGGGTTCAGGGTCCTAGGGGTTTAGG